ATGGCTGTTCAGGTTTGAAAAAAAAAAAAACCCTGAATATTTGATGGGTTGATCCTTAATGCTTTCTGCTAAAGAATTAGCACGCCTGCTAATGAGCCAAGGGATCCCAAGTGGGGAAAGGGAAAAATACAGAATTAGTTTCTGTTTTCATTCAGTTTTTTACATTGCTCAAATAAGGACCACTGTGCTTTACGTACTCTGACTAGTTTCACAGGGTAGAGAGAGTCAAGTAAATTACTCATCAAAGCCATCACGCTTAAAATGTCATGTTTTCCTAAGTGGATGTCCTGTGGCCATGGGGAGTCACAACCTATTTGCAAGGGCACCTGCAGGTGCTCACCCCCGGGCAGGAGGATGGTGGCACCAAGCAGAGTTGTCCTGCACTGGGAGGGATGTTTGCAAGTAGAGCCTCAGTCCTTTCACCGCCTGCTTTTTCTGTCTTCCCTGAAAGAAACTTATCTGTCCTCCACCCCCCACCCCATGCTGCCTCCCCACTGCTCCGTGCCATCCCAAAGGACGTGGCTTCTTCTGTGTTAACTGGCCATGCTTGGTTTTCCTCCAGCCCTTCCTCTGTATTCCTGTTGCTCCATCAGCTTCCCGCTCCCTCCGCATCCTGCAGCCAAACACTGTTTGCAGGCCAAACACTCAAACTACGCCCGTCTCTCCCCAGTTCAATGACACCTCTCATGTCAACACAAAAAACCCCCAGGGAATTCACAAGGAACATCTTCAATAATTAAAAGCTCAGCTTGCCTGTGGGTTTCCTTTCAACAAAGCTACCGCAACTCTAGGAAATTGAAGCTAAGACTGTAAGAATAGCCAGATCAATCTCCAGCCACTTATCTTACAAACCAAAAACTGCCTGCACTCAACACACTCCCTTTCTCCTTAAATCCATAGCAAATATACTCAGAGTGCATCCGATATTGGTTGCCCCAGTTAACTTAGTGGAGAGGCAGTACTCTTGCTGCTCCCATTTTTCGCAGGTACTACAGCAAAATAAACGTTTGCACCAAACCCCATTGGTCATAACAAAATACACAGTTCCACACACTAACAAAGTCAAACAGAAATCAGCCAAAATTACTGATCTTCCTTAGCAAGCCTGTGTTTTAGCGAGGTAGTGAATAGGTTGGCTTTGGAGGTGTCTCAGGACCTCAGGTAGCAACTGCTCTGGGCATGGTGGAATAAAGGACATTTGTGTAGTCTTAACTCTTATTTTCTGCTTCAAAGTTTTCTACCATGTCTTCCACCAACAATGCAAAAGCTTACAAGGAATTGCCTGTAACAGCTACCACCAAGTAATGAGGCTTTTCTCTCTTGATTTGACATTACATCTGTAACTTGGTCTTACTGGAGTTATTTACATCGAAGGCTCTCTTAGAAGTTTCTCTATCCGTGACGTGCGTGCCTGCAGCAGGACAGAGAAGTCACTACACTTTGAAGAAGTTGCTATAAATTAGTGCATGGGGTTAGATGAGGTTCAGGATTCCTGCAGTGATTATAAACTCAGCAGGGGTCCTTACAACAGCTCCGATCTCGACAGGGTTACTGTCTTGTTAATCAACCTCCTTCAGGACTGGAAGCGTTTCTGCGTCTTAGTTCTTGGGGGCTTTCTCTGGAAGCTGCAGAAGGATCTGTCAATTTACAGAGTCTACAGAGCTCTCATACATTTGGTAAAACAACATCAAAAAAGGCTAGGCTTAAGCCGTGGCACCCTGCGTTGTGCCAGACAGCACAAAGACTATCAATTCTTGTCACAGTTAGTGCAAAATAAGATTTGGTGATTTTGCCTAAACTGACTTTGCAGCTCAGGTCCTGATGTTAGCTCTGGCCGTCTCCTGAAACCAGAGGATGACAAGATCTGTGCACGAACCAGCACTCGCCTCCTCTCACCCTCTGGGGGAAGGAAACACAGGGAAGCAGATGGAGCAGACCTGGGGGACGCTTTCTACTGCCCTTGGTCTTGACCGGGGAAACACGGACATGCCGCGGAAGTATCTATCCCTTGGAAAAGCCACAGGCTGACATGTGCAGGGAACACACTAAGAGAGAATGTTTTCTGCTTTGTGTTGTGCAAGAGACAGCTAAATCAGGGTGCAATGTTCCTTAAAAAGATAAATATTAAGCATCTTCTTCCTTTTGCTGATGTTCCATACAGTAGAGCGGCCCTTCCTATAATAACCACGTTTCAGTGCACCAGCAAAGATCCATCTTTTCTCAGGGGAACACAAGGATTGCAGCTCCTGTGGCTTTTCATTGTCTGCCTTTGGGCACCTGTAAGGGATCTGCATATATTCTGTCCAAAAAGAAGCTAAACTTTGGCTTTGTTATGTGAATAGCACCTCCGACAAAAACATGGAAATAGCATTCCTCATAAACAGTCTATTTCAGAAAACCAGAAAATCTGCGTTAAAACTGAATGAATCTATTCAGGACAAAAAGAGGGCACGGAGAGGGCTGGAAAAGTCTGGATACCAGTAATTTACAAAGTGAATAGCAATAGCACATTATTACTGTTGCCGTTTTCACTAATTATCAGCAATGACAATCACTGCTGATCTGGATTTGTATTGCGAGAATACCTAAGCACTGCTTTTGTACCACACAGTAGTTCCCTCATACAGAAAGTTAACTTTCCAGGGCAAAAGAGAGCTGATGGATATATCCTACCTGACCAGGCACTACAAGGGACAAGTGGGACAACAGTGTTTAAGCATGAGAAAGTGTGGTATCGCCCTGACCTCACCACTGTTTTTCCACAGTCCTTGTGAAAAAGGACGCTCTTAAGAGAGGATCTGAAGGTAGGTAAGGAGCTAATTAGGAAAGTGTTCAAGGCTCTTCCCAGATCTGATGGGAAGCACGGGAGAAATCAATTGATGTAACACTTAGCAACATTGTGATGGAGGCTGGGCATCACCAGGTAAACTAAAGTGGGAGCTAGTATATTAGCACAGACTGATAGACTTAAAATCAGAGACAAATAGCTGTACTTGGTGTGATAGAAAAGGAGATGACAGTGGGGTGATGTAAAGACAAATGTCTTTGGGCAAGATGTCAAGCTAGGAAAATGATCTGCACAGCAGTGTGAATGGAGGTGGGTAACATTGCATTCGTCAAAACCAAGGAAAGGATGTTGCAGCAATCAAGATGTGGAATGAGAATTTGGACCTGAGACTCATACCTTGGTGAATAAGTTAGAAATGCTGTGGAGTAACAGTCTGCAAGATTTACGTGTAGTTTTAGACACAGATATAAGGGAATTTCAGAATAGAAAGTGATACCCAGGTTGCAGACCTGGAGGATGGGCAGATTGGAGAGGTTATCCATGATGACTCAGTATTCATGTGAGGACAAGAACTAGGGGATGAAAACACTATGCTCTCTATTTTAGCCATGCTAAGCATCAGCAGATAGAGAGGCACTGGTGTGCCTTCTGAGCTGTGGGTGGTTTTATTCAGTTTTTAAGCAAAGTGAAAGAATTTGTGAACAAACTCTCACAAACAAAAGGGTCCTATCCATCCAAGGATGTCCTGAACATTTCATCACGAAGCTTTGCAAAAGCGTTTCTGGAGAAACTTTCCCAAGGGAAAAAAAAGAGAGAGCAGCATCTGCGTTCACTAGTTTGGAGATGCACCTTACCATCCCTAGTCATATAGTGCATTTTCCTTCTCAGCTGGGATCTCTTACATATCCATGTTCCTCTGCATGGAAGGAACTGTCTCTTCTACATTGTTTGGCGAATTGCACAAGCCAAATTGCACAACCTAAGGAGAATGACCAGCTTCTTTGACTGTTCATTTTAAAAGCCTTGCATAAAAAGGGGGTGAATAAGCCTCGCATCACATCATATACTTAGTGCATCATGAAAAATGTAAAAAGCTCTCATGAATTATACTATCTGCTACTAATTTGTGACAAAACAGCAGGGACTGAGGCTAAGGCTTGTTGAATATGCAGTTCAGAGCCACAAAAGACTACTTTGTAAACGTTAGCTAAGCAAAACCTCTGCCAGTGAAGTCAAAGCAATCCATCATCATCACCCTTCGATAAACTCTTTGTCCAGTTTAAGAATTAAAAGCTGTATTTAACATATTCAGAAATGGAGAAATGCCTTTAGAAACAACAGGCTTAATGCACTACTAATCTCTAAGCCAAATATTTATAGCCCCGTAGTTTATAAACAATCTGAAATATTTGGGTAGTGGATATCCAAGAGGTGGAAGCACGCACAGTAATGGGGATGTTTTACCATTCCGTCTACCTTGTTTGGTATTTCAATCACTATCATATCAGATTTATAAGCATTGCAAATTATTGAATTATCAGTTTAGAAAAAGAACCGAAACCCCCACAAGTTAAAATGTATGGAAATGTTTCACTGTTTATAAATTTGACTGCCTCAGAAAATAATCAATATCAAAGTTGATTCAAGCCAAGATCTGTCTGGATGTGTATTAATTTGCGCCATGAAAATAAACTAGAAATTACTAAGATAAAAGAAATAATAATGAAATATGGAAATAACTACGGATTTTGCACATTGTCATTATATAATGGACATAATGGACATAATGACATTACATAATGGATTCTAATTAAATCCAGGTGGAAAATGACCTTCCTAGACCTCCCTTCAAAATTAAGATTTTTGACAGTCATGATTAATGGAAACATGCACTTTGCATGGTTTGTAAACCTGAAACATCATTGTACATTTCAGTTTATAATTTATCCCATTATCTGCTTCTGCATGCATGAAGGTCAGCCGTACTGGCACAAAGTACCAGTGAAATCCAGAGGCTCTGGAAGGTTGTTTTCACAGATTTTTCAATTATTTTTTACGAGGAAATAATTTCACCTGCTTTTTTCTTAGAAAGATGACAATTTAAGAGAGTAGTATTTTTAATAGCAGTAATTGCAATATTCTTGTTATTCTCTTGTCTTTTTAGAGTAAACAAAATGGCACTGGAAAAAAATGTTTTTTTAAGGATTCCTACCCGCAATATTTCTTCAATGCAGCTGTTATCTCCTGTTCCACTGTCCTGTAAACAAAATGAGAAAATTGTTTGTTTGTGTTTTATAAAGAAATAACAAATAGCAGGTTTGAGGACATGGTTGTCACATGAAATATATTCCAACCTCTGTTATGGTTTCAAAATGAGGCCAAGTCTTTCCAGCATCTGAAAAGTTGCACAGCTTAAAATTCTCAAATTATTCCACATCAGCACCACAGAAAGATGTAATATTTGCAGTGTTTACATATGATTGCAACATATTTGTATAAATTCATAACATTTTCTTTACACCACGTTTGGGTGCAGTTCCTGCTGTTTCGGATATACTGCATATGAGTAAGCATAAGGAGAACAGTTATTGCATGTACATAGATCCAATATGTGCGTTTATTTCTATTAAATAAATAACACCTCTCCACGCCCTTTGTGCAGGAAAGACTCTGCAGTGACTCCGCCTATGCGAAGCCTGAGGATGTATAGGGTAGAGGCACCCATGGTGCTGAGGGGAGAGCTGCAGGGGCTCTCTGCCACCAACACCGAGCATGGGCTAGGCCGCACAGCAGTCCTGAGAAGGCTATGATTTCCTAAAATGCTGACCCTAAACCCACCTATATGCTGTGGGACCGAGGGAGCGGAGGAATTCAGCCCTCCTCACTGGTATGGCTTCCTCCAGAGCCATTCTGGAGAGGGGAAATTAGAGGTTTTCCCCTACAGGAACCATCCAGCCTGTGCCTCACCTACATGCTCAGCTTGGTTGTTTGTTAGGGCCCAAAGTTCTGCCAGCAAAGACGAGGCAGTGTGAGACACCAGTCTGCCGTACTCATGCCCCCCCCCACCCCTGCCCACAATTCCTGCCTGCCCCCTGCCCACAGTTTGCTTGCACTGCCCAGCACAACTGGGAAGAGAGGGCACACCAGGGATGGAGGTACTGATGCTGAGGGGGTGCCCATCTCCTGCAGCTCTCCACAAGATACAGGTGGCTGCTGCATCAATAAAGTTTTCTGAGGATTTGCTTCACCACTGTAAATTCCCTGACAACTCCCCAAAGAAAGGTTTTCTTCCTTTTGCAGAACACAACTCAGGTGGCAGGAGACTGGGGCTTGAGGTCTTCCATGCAGGAAGGGGGGATGGAAACAAAACCAATACAAATAATTAGTGTCCCAAAGAGCTAGCAGGAAGGTGAACTTGGTCTTTACCTCTCGTTTTCAAAAAACACCTGGAGCTTCTGAGTTTTCAGGTGCTCACCTGGAGAAATATCAAAGCAATTTGATTTTCCAAAGTGCTGAGCTCTTCTCACCTGGATATCAGACTTCTCTACCACACCTGTATTTGGGCACCCAAGAAATCCCAAGGCACTTTCAAAAATGGGTACCTCTGTGCCTACCAAGTCTTTTGAGGAACGTCTGAGGGAACTGGGGTTGTTTAGCCTGGAGAAGAGGAGGCTGAGGGGAGACCTTATCACTCTCTACAACTACCTGAAGGAGGTTGTAGAGAGGCGGGGGCTGACCTCTTCTCCCTGGTGACAAGTGATAGGACGAAAGGAAATGGGTTCAAGTTATATCAGACGAGATTTAGATTAGATATTAGGAAAAAAAATTTCACTGAAAGGGTTATTAAACATTGGAATAGGCTGCCCAGGGAGGTGGTGGATTCGCCATCCCTGGAGGTGTTTAAAAAAAGGGTAGATGTGGTACTTGGGGACATGGTTTAGAAGTGGTTTTGTCAGGGTAGGTT